AAAGCATCTAGATCTTCTACAAGACTGATTAGGTGTTATGTTAGGTAGAAAATCTGCTAGATCTGTTGCCTACATATAGAACACACAAACATACACAATCTGCTTATTCGTCTCTGATATTGGTATACATAGAAACCACTAGATTCCCTTTTAAGAAACTCTTAGGGCCGGGGCAGTGGCTCACGCTTGTAATCCTAGCACTTTAGGAGGCCAAGGAGGGAGGATCACTTGAGGTCAGGAGTTTGAGACCAGCCTGGCCAACATGGTGAAACCCTGTCTCTATTAAGAATACAAATTAGCTGGGCGTGGTGGCAGGCGCCTGTAATCCCAGCTCCTCAGGAGGCTGAGGCAGGAGAACCGCTTGAACCCAGGAGGTAGAGACTGCAGTGAGCTGAAATCACACCACTGCACTCAAGCCTGGACAGCAGAGCAAGACTCTGTTTCAAAAAAAAAAAAAAAATGTGGTTTTACTTTTTCTTCAACTGTGGTTGAGGAAATTGATTTGAATAAAAGAATTTCAACTCACTACTACTGAAGATTTTACTTCCAAAAGAATTCAGAAACTAAAACGAGAAAAACAAGGAATATAAATAATGACCATGTACCCTAGGGAAGAGATCAAGATGCAACAAAGTAAACCAAAGCCTTAGAACTACATATAAGAAAGAACAACAAAGCAAAATCAGACTTCTGTGCTGTATTCTGAAGTTAGCATAACTAAGCCTAAAGGGGTCTGAAAAATACTTAGCTCTGGTTAGTGGAATTAAAACATAACAATGTTTTAAAACATCGTCCACATTAAATACCCCAAATGATTTTTATGTAGAGTAATCTGGAGGGTTACATACCAAGCAGTTACCCATGGCCACCTCTAAAGCATGCCAATGCGGAAAACAGAGACCTTTTCATTTTGTAAAAATTTAAAAGGAAAGAACCAAGGAAGCAAGTATTACTTACACACTAACACAGACAGACAGACAGACAGACAGACAGACACACACACACACACACACACACACACACACACACACGGTATTTCTAAGGAACTTTGGTTGGATCCCTAAAGGCATCAAATAATGCCAGCTCACAAAATCAGCCTAGTAATGCACAGAACCACCACCCTCCATCCTCGCCCCCATTCCTACACACACGTCTGCTACCATTTAGAACAACAATGTTATCAAAACCAGGACGCTCTGGAGAGTGGAAAAGAGGGCACTATTAATAACTGCATAGGGAAACACATAAACTGGGAGGATTCCAGACAAATGTAAAGTTTTAGCCACCCTATGTGGATTAGATGCAACTATGTGGACCATCTGCTTTAAACTAAGGAAGAAAAAGACCTTGAGATCTACCAAGCAAGGGCTGATAAGACAAAATTGCAGCACGACCATTATTGCTTATTTAGCGTGCTATCTTTAATATTTTTACTTTAGTGATCAAAGTGGTTATTTGAGATTTACATGGGTTTCTCTGAGCCTTGTTTCCTTTTACTGTTTTTCTTGTAATCATTTCCCCCTCCTCTATACCAAAAGGAAACATTATATTTCTCAACCAGGTATTTTCTTTACATAGAAGTTTTCAGAAATGTAATATTCATGGTGGGGCACGAATATTACATGAAAGGAGAACATTTGAGTTTACAAATATTTTAACAAATGCTAAGCTATTTCATTTGCTTTATAAACACCCTATGGATTGGAAAGACATTATTATCCACATTTTACAAACAAGAAGTATTATAAGGCCCAAAGCCAAACAACTATCAACAGCCATTTAGGACTAGAAGCCCCGTCTTGAGCTCTATAGTGAAGGCACTCCACAATACCATGAGGTTTCTCATCTAAGTACTTTCTCCTTTAGCCCGCCTTCCTTCAGTGACATACATTCCTGAGATTTTTCTCTGGGTTATGGCTCCCATTTCAGTAAAATCTAATATAAAAAATTCTGAAGTTCATTACAGAACAGTAGCTAATTATATGCAATACAAAGAACTTCACAGCCAGGCACGGTGGCTCAAGCCTGTAATCCCAGCACTTTGGGAGGCCGAGGCGGGTGGATCACAAGGTCAAGAGATCGAGACCATCCTGGTCAACATGGTGAAACCCCGTCTCTACTAAAAATACAAAAAAATTAGCTGGGCATGGTGGCGCATGCCTGTAATCCCAGCTACTCAGGAGGCTGAGGCAGGAGAATTGCCTGAACCCAGGAGGCGGAGGTTGCGGTGAGCCGAGATCGCGCCATTGCACTCCAGCCTGGGTAACAAGAGCAAAACTCCGTCTCAAAAAAAAAAAAAAAAAAAAAGAACTTCACATTGGGGGAAAAAAAACTCTGCAGATTTCAATATTATTTTTCTCTTTCAATAAAAGTATGACAACTCAGAAAAATGTGATACATCTACAGCTTTCCAGGAATATATTCATCTTATAAACTTAAATATACAAATAAATAATATTTCCATATCTCAGTGGATTCATATAAAAGCCCTGCAAACAAGCAACTTTAAGGATAAGAAATCGAAAGTTAGAAGATTGAGTGACTTGTAAAAAGTCTCACTTACAGTAAATGCCTGAGCTAGAACTACAAGCTCCTAGAGTTTTCTGACCAATAAAGGCCAGAATACAAGCCTGACTACACTATTAATGTATAGTCAATCATTCCTTGCGAAAACGAGATATTACAGTTGGCCCCCTACATCTGTGGGTTCCATATTCATGGAGTCAACCAATCGCAGACTGAAAATATTTTCAAAATCGGCTGGGAATGGTGGCTCATGCCTGTAATCCCCAAACTTTGGGAGGCTGAGGAAAAAGGATCCCTTAAGCCCAGGAATTTGAGACCAATCTAGGCAACATAGGGAGACCCTGTCTTTACAACACAAACCAACAAACCAGTAAAAATTAGCTGGGCATGGCAGCACTTGCCTATAGTACTGGGCAACAGAGTGAGACTCAGTTTCAAAAAAAGGAGGAAAAAAACTAGTAACAACTATTTACATAGTTTTTACATTGTATTAGGTATAAGTAATCTAGAGATGCTTTAAAGCATACAAAGGATGTGTGTAGGTTATATGCAAATACTATGCCATTTTATATAAGGGACTTTAGCATGGCGGATTTTGTTATGGGGGATGGGACATGCCAGATACCAATTTCCTGCAGATACTGAGGGACGACTGCACTTTTCCCTACCTAACTTTAGAACACGGTGTCTATTACGTCAAGCATTGTTCTAGACAAGGGAGATACAGTAATCATCAAGACAAAAATCCTGACCTAGTAGACTTCATACTTTAGTAGATGATATGAACAATACACAAACAAATATGCAGTGTGTCAGATGGATATAGTAGAAGGGGAATAAATATCAACAACACAAAAGAATAGTGAATAATCAGAGTAAGGGAGGTAGAGCTTACAGGGTGCTATTTTACATATGGTGGCCAGAAAACACCTCAATGAGCTGACACTGTGAAGAGACCGAAAAGAAATGTGGAAGCAAGCCATGGGGGTTATCTAAGAGAGTGTTCCAGAGAGAAAGAACAGAAAAGCAAGTTTGAGATGCTTCTGAAACACCCAAGAAGAAACATCAAGGACACAGTCAGAATTATGAATGTGGAGAGACAGAGGTGTGTAAATATAATTTTTGGTTTTTACTTATTTTCAATTGAAATGAACATTTATTGGGCCCATATTAAATGAGACACAGCTAAGAAATGCCCCTGCACCATCCATGCACAATTCACACCATCCATCCTAGGATCAATATCTTGCTGTTTCTCCTCAGCCAGGTACATCCTACATTTTACTAGTTTTCTACCATTATGCAGTCTCCTATAGTGTAGTGACAGGCTTGTCTTAAAGCTCAGAATCTTCTTAGAAAGCGGTGGATAACAGTGATAGTCACAACTGATGCAGAATTTGCTTTATTTAAACATGCACTGAGATGGACTCATTGCTTCCTGTGAAGCTGCTACACTTGTCCGTCACTCTACTCATGGGCTCTTAGGAATAAATGACATTCATAACTCTCTTCACTCACGGCCAGGGGCAGTGGCACCAGCCTGTAATCCCAGCACTTTAGGAGGCCAAGGTGGGCAGAACACTTGCGGTCAGGAGTTCAGCTTGGCCAACGTGGTGAAACCCCATCTCTACTAAAAATACAAAAATTAGCCAGGCGTGGTGGCACACATCTGTAATTCCAGCTACTCAGGAGGCTGAGGCAGGAGAATCATGTGAACCCAGGAGGCAGAGGTTGCAGTGAGCCAAGATCACGTCACTTTACTCCAACCTGGGCAACAGAGTGAGACACTATCTTAAAAAATAATAATAATCTTCACTCACATCATAATCATCACTCATAAGCACTCTGTCTGAAATGAATTATAATCAGCTGTGGCGTCAGCAGCTTTTGCCACAAAGCTAGAGGTGGCTGATTCCACATCAGTAGAGAATTCCAAACTCTGCATGTTCTGTGGTTGACGCTAGGTCTGTGGTCAAGTCTAGGTTAATGGTTAAATCTTGGTCTGCAGTTAACTCTAGATCAGTGATCAATTCTCATAGGTCAGTGGTTGATTCCGGGGCAGTATAGAGAAAGTCACAGAACACAAAGAAAATCAGGACCTTCCTGAGCATGGTGCCTCCAGGGAGGGCAGAAGCATCTTGAGCTGTATATTTAAATACCACCTGGTACTTAAAGCTATGAGACTGAGATCACCAAGGAAGTGAAAAGAGACAAAAGGAAAGAACTAAGGACTGAGTCCTGGGGTCATATAACATTTAGAGATAGAAGATGAGAAGGGGCTTAGCAAGAAACGAGAAAAAACAGCCAATGCGGGGAGAGGAGAAGAGATGTGTCCCCAGAGCGAAGTGGAAAAAAAGTTTCAGAAAAAAAGTAATCAACTATGTCAAATTCTACTGAAGTTCAAGTAAGAGGGCTGCCACTTGACTCTTGGATTTAGGAATGTGGATGTGGCCGATAATAGAAAAGAAACATATGCTCACCTCAGCAGCATATACTAAAATTGGAACGATCCAGAGAGGATGAGCATGGCCCTTGCACAAGGATGACATGTGAATTTGTGAAGCCCTCCATATCTTAAAATAAATAAGGAACACAAATTTTTTTGGCAGCAACTTCCATCAACAGGTGGAGTCTGTTTTCCCACAACTGAATCTGGGCTTGGCCATGTGAGCTGCTTTGTCAAAAGGACTTTAGCAAATGTGACACACGCACAAGGCTTTCAAAGTGCTTGTGCACTGGGCTTCCTTTCTCTTTTGCTACTAAAATGCTTTCACCATCATGTTAATGAGCTTGCTAGAGATGAAATAAATAGCCACTGCCTCTGCTGATGTCAAACCAACCAGCATACACAAGTGAGGTCATCCTCTCCAGGAAGGCCACCCAGGCCAGCTCCAACCAGAATTGATCCATAGAAGTATGAGCAAATAAAATGATTTTTGTGCTAAGCCACTAAGTTTTGCGATGGTTTGTTATGAAGCAAAAGCTAAGTGATAAAGAGGAAGATACCAGTAACAGAGAAGAGCTGTTTCAATGGCATCGTGGGCATAAGAATCTGACTGGAATTGGTTAAGAATGAATGGATGGGAAGAATAGAACACAAGCCCTCCAGCTGATACTAGCTGAGCTTTAGAGGCTTTCCTTTCTAACAGGGCCATTTCCTCAACCAGAAAACTATACTGTTACACTGTTTTCTAGATACTTCCTACCCACTTCCAAAGCTCGTATAAGTAGGCATAGTGGTATAGTGGCAAAGTCCTACTTTCCTTGGTGCATCCCGTTATACCCGACCCAAGCACACCTGCTCACGGGTGCAGGCAGGAGGGAGGGGTGAAAGAACTAATACTCTGCTGCTTCACCGCCATTAAGGTAAACCAATAAACTTTTGTTATATTTATACCACATGTCACTAGGGGTGTGTGTGAGGGGATGTGTGTGTATGTGCAAAGATGTCTCCTTTACAGGGCATCTGTCTTTTGACAAGCCTTGACATGTTCATTACTTGTCATTTTGTAAGTAAACTCTCTGATCAGGAATTATAATCACATTTTAAAACATTTATAAAAATTTCAAAAATAACTTTTTTAAATGTCAAGAATATGTAAATCACTTACTTGGCAATCCGCAGTTTCCCAACTTCACCTCTTCCAGGGGCTTTAGCCCATTGCTGTGACAAATATTTAGGAACCTAAAAGAAAGTAAAACATTAATAAGACTATTTTAGATGCTAACAGATCTTTTCAAACATAAAATAATATACTGCTTCTATTTTTACTTTCTGCCTCTAATAAGGTATCATTATTAAGTTATCACTGTATGTTTTATGCTACCTGAAATACTAAAACACGTAAAAAATGATTTTAGCTCTCAAAGAGCTTAAATATAATCTCGGTGGTGACACAAAACTAATATAGGTCAAATAACCTAACAGTAATAAAGCACTAACTTATCTTCCCAAGTAAGTTCAATTAAAGGTCACAGAAGAGAAAGGCTATCAGAAAAGGCTTCTCAGAAAAGAACAGCACTGACTACAGTAATGGCATTATTTACAAACACCACTGGGCTTAAGATGATTTCAAAAGTCAAGTTTTATTATGTAGAAAATTGTAGCATTGACTACTGTGAAGAAGCTGCTGTTAATATAAAAGGAATATTAAACAGCGTAGCTAACATTTATATAATCCTGCCTTCCTGACACTGTTGTAAGCACTTTATACAGATTAACACATTTAGTCCTCACATCTCTAAAGAACAGGTACTATTACCCCTATTTTACAGATGATGAATCTGAAGCACCCAGGGACTATACAATTTACTCAAGGTTATATAATTAGTAAAGATGGAGCCAGGACTCAAACCCATGCAGTCTGCCTCCAGGGTCTGTGTTCTTAACCAATACACTATATTGCATCTGTAACTGAGTACATGCAATCAGAAGGACTTTAATTCTCAAAAAGGAGAGGAGATGATACATGCTAAATCTCTATTATACACCCTATCTCACTTCTTCTATAAAGTAATTTGGACTCTGGAATCAGTCCATACCTTGAAAGCTATCCTATTTATTAGGAGTGAGATACACCAAGCATGAAGCATAATGCCTTACACAAGGCCAAGTACTCGATAAGTGTCCGATGACATTATTTTTCATGATAAATCTGGAATAATCCAGCTGCCAAAGCTGAGAAAAAAACTACTTCTAGCTAGCAATTACTTCACGTGCAAAAAAAATCACTTGACCACTAGTCAAATAAATTGCAGTACCTTGGTAGAGCAAAAATTCAGGAATACTAGGGTAAAAAGAAGCCCCTGATGGTATTTTTTCAGTTATGTATGTACTCTTCACACTAAAAGTTAATGAACAGGGCCAGGCATGGTGGCTCACACCTGTAATCCCAGCACTTTGGGAGACCAAGTCAGGTGGATCATGAGGTCAACACTTCGACACCAGCCTGGCTAACATGGTGAAACCCCCATCTCTACTAAAACTACAAAAATTAGCTGGGCGTGGTGGCGCATGCCTGTAATCCCAGCTCCTTGAGAGGCTGAGGCAGGAGACTTGCTTGAACCAGGGCGGCAGAGGTTGTGGTGACCCGAGATCACGCCACTGCACTCCAGCCTGGGCAATGGCACAAGACTCCATCCGGAGAAAAAAAAAGTTACTGAACAACAATTCAATATTATGGGTTCACTGGGCACAGTGGTTCGCTCCTGTAATCTCAGCACTTTAGGAGGCCAAGGTGGGCAGATCACTTGAGGTCAGGAGTTCGAGACCAGCCTGGCCATTGTGGCAAAACCCCATCTCTACTAAAAATACAAAAATTAGACAGGCACAGTGGCGTAGGCCTGTGGTCCCACCTACTTGGAAGGCTGAGACACAAGAATCGCTTGAACCCAGGAGATGGAGGTTGCAGTGAGCTAAGATCACACTATTGCACTCCAGCCTGGACAACAGAAAGACTGTCTTAAAAAAAAAAAAGAGTTAGACAATATACTACAGTCAGTCAGGTACCATGCTAAACATCCATTATCCCATTTCATCCTTCCAGTCACCCTGCCAAATCGCAATCATTCTCCTCATCCTACAGATGAGAAAACTGAGGTTCAAAGGGTTGAAATAACTCAGGTAGCCAGGATCAGATTCAAGACTCAACACCAGACTGGTCATTTGTTCTCTTCACTAGACGATACTACCTCTCACAAGGGTCTATGTGCTAAAGAAGAGTATGTAACAGATCTAAGGAAAAGAGGATTTTGAAGACTCTGTATCTTAACAAACTTCCACTACACTATCCTCCATTCATCCAAACAAGCTTAGAGGATTTGGCAAACTCCTTAGGATAACTGTTATCTACCCATTCCGTCTCCTTTGATTACAGGTGACAGAAAAACCACTTAAAGAGGACTAATGTGCCAAATAACAAAAAATTCCAGAGGTAGCTTAAAGGTGGTTTCATTAAGGGCTCAAATGAGGTCCCCAGGACTCTTTCACTATTTCTTATCTATCTCTCCCCCATGTTAACTCAGTTATTTGGCAGACCCTCACCTTAGGTAGCAAAATGGCAGAGGCAGCTTCTGAAGAGCACATGTCTCCTTCCCAGAAGTCCCTAGCGAAAATCTGTCTTTCATGAAGCTGACAAGGGTGTGTACCCTTTCCTGGACCTATTGCTGTGCCCAGAGATGAGACACCTCACTGGCCAGCCTGAGTCAATGACATCTTTGAGGAAGAGTAGTCAACACCATTAAAATCACACAGATTGAAAAGGGGAAGCAGTGGTTTCCACAACCACAATCAAGATTCTACAACAATATCAAAGTAAATAGATACTGGTTAAAGAAGCAAATGCCCAAAACACTAACTGTGAGATACGCTAGGAACTTCTCATTATCAACAACAGTATCCCTTTCATAATCTGTATTTCAAGCAACCATTCTGAGCACCATCTCCTAAATTCCTAGCTCTCTCCTTAGTACTTTGACTCCCAACAATTCTTCTAACCCTTCAATTTGCTGACTTTAATTAACATCTTCTCACTGTCCCCCATCTGCTATGTCCCCATTTCTCTCTCTCTCTCTTTTTTTTTTTTTTTTTGAGACGGAGTTTCGCTCGTTACCCAGGCTGGAGTGCAATGGTGCGATCTCGGCTCACCGCAACCTCCGCCTCCTGGGTTCAGGCAATTCTCCTGCCTCAGCCTCCTGAGTAGCTGGGATTACAGGCACGCGCCACCATGCCCAGCTAAATTTTTTGCATGTTTAGTAGAGACGGGGTTTCACCATGTTGACCAGGATGGTCTCGATCTCTTGACCTCGTGATCCACCCACCTCGGCCTCCCAAAGTGCTGGGAATACAGGCTTGAGCCACCGCGCCCGGCCCCCCGTTTCTCTCTTTAATGAAACTAGATTTCATGGTTTATCATTATAATCATGCCCTTGCCCCTATCTATCTTCCTCCAGCATACTGGCCTGGCAGAACCTTAATCCTGATTAAAGCCAATCGCTACTTCTCTTTATTAATTTATAATTTATCTATGATTTTATTTTATTGTGTTATTCTTCTCTGCCACAGTTGCATCTGAGCAGTTGAAGGAAAGCTCACAATCATGCTAGCCGGTCTCGCATTAAATACAAGACTACAAACATCAAGTAAGCCCTTAGCAACACCTGGCAAGTTAACTACATTACATCTCCCTAGTCAATTTAGTCCCTTCTTCCTGAGTATTCAATTATTCTCTTTTCATTTTTCAAACCTACAACACCTCTTCCTTCCTCCTCCCTCTGTGTTGCCCTGACTTCCTCTTCCACCGAGAAAAAGTAAACCATCAAATCTAAACTTCTACATCTACCACTTAGCCACAATTGGAACCTTTTACTTGCTTTACCCTCCTAAAACAACGGATAAACTATGGCCAATCCCTCCACTTGTGCACTGAATTTCTTTCCCTGTTATGTAACCAAGGACATCTTTCCTTCAAGCACACCCTTTCCTTCCTCTATTGCCTTCTCTGCTTAATCATTCCCATCAGCACAATAATAATACTAATAATAAACGCTAAGACAGCGAGTGCTTACTTAATGTAGCA